AAAAAAAAAAAAAAGCGGGTGGGGAGGGGCCGAGGGGGAGCTCGGGATAAGATGGGATCTGCTCTTGGCTCTCTCTTCTCCTTCTTTGTGTGTGTGTGTGTGTGTGTGTCTGCTGTCTGTGTAAATTGTCATGATTCCCGGTAAGACTGGCAGCAGTGTATCATGCACTGGTGTCGTGATCTCATGTACAGACCCCTTCTGAATTGATGGACTCTCGACCATGTTCACTACGCGCATGTGTCGGTCATGATGGGCAGAGAGCCGTGAGTCCATGAGCGTGATGGGAATGTCGATGCCTCGGAAAGCTGCCCAAGCTCTGTCGTACCTACGTACAGACACTAGCGACTCCAACATGCTACATGGACTGATAGGTACGGCACATTACCCACCACGTACGCATACGGACATCCCTTCTCCGTGTCTTCCCCCCCCCCGTCTTTTTCTCTTTCCTTGATTCAAGAAAAGGTCAAGGTGACATCTCTCTACTCGTCCCGATGGCGACCGTCCACGGTATCACTTACAGCACTTCTTACGCCCCCTTGGATCATCAGTGAGCCTCGAGATGAAGTCACGAGGTCGGACAGGAACATGGATGGCACGAGCAGCTCACGACACTCCTCCCTCCATACAAGAGATGGCTGTGGATCTGGGATCCTGCAAGCAATATATATATATATATATATATATATACATATATACATATATATATATACATATCTGTAATCGGTACCCTATGATCCACAACCGTAGATGCGTCGCCACAAGACGACACACACTGTCGCATACGCTACAGATTACACGTACAGGTCACGACGGATCATTGCAGGCACACACAAGACAACGCACTTCTCCCCGTTATTTTATGACTAGTTATCTTATAATGCCAGTGGTCAGCGGTCACCATCCTATTGATGGCCATCCTCAGTCCCATCAGAACCGGGACGACGATCAGCTACCCCCCCACCAGCAGCCGTGTGCTCCGTTCGGGGGAGTGAATTGGTAGATTTATGACTCTGCTGCGCTCGGCCAGCTCCTCTCCCTTTCCTTGGCCTCCTGATACCTCCGTACCCCGCGTCCCCTCCCTCATACTGACTTCATTCCTGCCCCTCACCCGCTCCGACCCGAGCTCTCCTTGTCTGGACTCTCTCCGTCTCTCTCTCTCTCTCTCTCTCTTCTTTCTTCTCCTTCCTTCCTTTCCTTCTTCCCCTTTTTTCCCCTCTTCTCTTCCTCTCTTCCTCTCTCTCATTCCTTCTTCCCCCGTTGCCAGTTACTTTCCCCCATCTCTTCCTTGACTCCTCCCATCTTTTACTCCTCCCCATCTCTACACCTCCCCATCTCTACACCTCCCCATCTCACTCCTCCATCACTGTCGACTATCCAAAGATCGGTACCTCCCGCTCGACCCCTCAACCCGCCTACCCTACCCTACCCTCAGATCCCCACCTGCACCGCATCACAGATCATGGCTTCCGGCGGCGAGACCGAAAAGGTCAACACTCACATCATCACCCTCACCCGCTTCCTCACAGAGGAGCAGGCCAAGCACAAGGAAGCCACCGGAGACTTTACGTACGTCTTC